TTCTGAAAACTTATAAATATCTCTTATAAACTTCAAAAAAATGGTCATGCTGGACCATGAGAGTGGACGAAAAGCGCGCCGGTCCCTTGCGGCGGTTTTCCCGCAAAACGCCATGGTCGTCAATGGGTTAAGATAATCTTTATAGGCATTACGAGCCAATGATTACCCATAATGAAAGCTTTCCCTGCATTAGCGTCGTGTCGGAAAAGGAGTGAAATTTTTCTAAATTTCCTGTGACAGAAATTCAGACTTTAAAAGGATTTATGTGTTTTCATAATGAAGAAACCGTTTACCGCAAGTTGTTTTATTCGAGATGCATTGGAGAGATCCTCGTTAAACGCTGCCCATTCGCGAGTTACATGGGCATACATCAATACGTACATAAGTAAAGCTAATGAAGATACAAATCCGATAAGCAGAGATACGATAGGGTCCAAGCCATACAACGTGGCTATATTCAGTGGATATCTGAAAGCTCAGCGATACTTATTGAACTACGGCTCCTCACTTTAACCTCACTCGAATAAAGCATGGCTGTGGCCCAAGGAATTAAAAGAAAGACACTAACTGTTAAGATGAAAAGCGACGATTTTATAAGGACGCGCCATGCATGTGGCCCCTCCCACAAAAGTGGCGACTTAATAATTTGTATGTATTCGGTCCGTTTTGGCAAGAATGAGGGGACCAGCCGATAAACAGGTCGATTTTTACAGAATGAAGGATCAAGTCTTTTGTATCAATCTCGTCGGAGGGATATGTACGTCCCGCATTCGACTTCCATTGAGAATCGTAGTGGCGTATTGAAAGCGTATGTGGCCTGTACAATGACTTGCGGTGGCCAGCTGCAATATACAACTCTGTGCTTTTATCCTCCCAGACGAGCCTGGTACCAATTAACCGATCCCGGAGGGATGGAAGATTTGGTGGGCCCAGGTACATACCTATCCAGGATTCGAACCCGTGACCGTGTGTGTGAAGTGCGCCGCTTGCCACTACACCACTACTGTACAATATTCCGGAAAAATCATTCAACTCTAGGTAGACTACAAAGCTGTGAAAGGCTCGGCCAATCTAGGGGGACTGCACCCTATACGACTGCTCCGTAATGGGATCGTTTTAGTTAGCAAGGAACCATGGGGGTGATGTTAGACTGAATGGTCTCACTGGGAACTATTCCGAGCTATTTGTCTCTACCAGTAGCACCGTTTTACCTAACGTATGTTACCCATGAGCTTCAGGGTGGGGAACGGGGTGAGGGGGGGGGGGTCGCTGCCGATATGCCAGACTACTGACGATTTCCAATACTCTACGGCGTAATTCTGCAATTGAATTATAGGGCAACTATAATAGAATAGAAAACAAATTATTGTATAAATACTATACCCCATATGGAATGGTTCAGAAGAATTTGTTACTTCTGCTTCATATAGTATGCCCCTCATCGATGATCCCAACCATAAAATCATAAAGGCGACCGTGCCGATGACGATTTTACGATAAGTTCCAGTCAGGCCCGTTTTTCCACAGAGTGGACTCTAAAAAACCACCTATGATGATAAAAAATTCAAGCACGATCAATAAAATCAATAAAGTCTAATCAATCGTACTCGTTGATTCTGCACTTTAGCTAGCACTTCCTGCAATTTCGGCAGAAACTGAGATTTCGTCCATGCAGCTACACATAGAGCCGAGCAAAGCCCGTTTAATGCCATAAACGCCAAGACGAGGATTGTGGCCCACTCGAGGCTCATTGGCTGAAATATTTGATATTCCTCCATATTTTTGTTAAAAAACGATCTTTTTAGAAAAAAAAGTCCGAAAATGACTGACCCTCGTATCGAATGTGATCAGAAGGAGGGATTTTATAAAAATCGGCAAACAGATGAGTATACACACAACGACTATGCGAACAGTCTTCAACCATCCGCTTTGTTCTATAGAAGCTTCACTGAGATCGAGACCACTCCATCGTAGAACAAGCTTAAATGAAATAATTTTGGAAAAAATATTACTTTTGAAACGACATAGAGCATTAAATGACAAAAATCCCCTTTTCTCGATTCGTCGTCACCCTTATGCAATGCTTTTTCTGTTATATCTATAATTAGGACTTAAAACAACTTGTCGAGAAGTACGGAAGTGCCAAGTAACGGAACACCACAGGCCTGATCACGGGACCGGAATGGTTGCTCGATATTCGCCCAAGCCAAATTAGTCTGTGAGAATGAAGCACTAATCTCTACAACGCTTGCTCCCATTCTCTCTCCCGCATCCCATAACCAGCAAACCACACACACCAAAATTATCGTAATCTTAGCTCCTAAGTGTGGTAGAGGCCAAATACGTAATCAAACACCAGTGCAATTGTGGAACGAAGTCCAGGGCTTGGAGGCATCCCGAGAACCCAAATCTTTGAAACTCTGGACTTGATTTAGCAATAGTCACTAAGTACTGTCTACTTAACCCGACGCATTTTGAATTATAACACTTAGGACAAAATTCGCTAAGTAATTTTTGATATAGCCTAGCATCGTGCAGACTCTCAGTGATATGCCTGACAGTTTTCGATGACAAAACCTCAGCAGGTGCGCCTGCCTTTTTTATGACCCCTTCGCCTTCACGAGAATGAATTTATTTATGTTGCTTGCTGTTTATTATTTACCACACCAAGAACATGAGAAATTGCTCTCAATAGATGATTTTTCAGTCGTTCAGTAGTTTGAGTGAGTATGAGCTGAAGCCAGAAAAAAATTACCACTCCCTCCGTCTTTTTCTCCCCTCACTCTCCTTACTCCTCCTTCCGGCAAACGTCTGTTGCGCGTGTCCGTCGAAAGTAGGTCACCCCGCCC